TTTGTTTTTGATCTTTCTTCCACTGAAACGGACAGGAGACCAAAAACAGTGAGATTTCTACGTCAGTGTGTACAGATGGCTATATAGAAGTTTTCATATTTGTAGATAAGTTTGCTGTTTCAGCAAGTACCTTGCTGTTGGATGTATAAATGAGATGGGGGTTGGGGAACAGGGTTTGATTAGAATAAAAATCTTTTTGTGTCTGTCTAATCATACCTTTACTTAAGATACCTTGAAAAGTAGTCCTTTGGGGAGCTGAGAGTTTAGCGCACTCTCTTGATGAGTGTGAGGCTTTTACTCATGTGGGAGAGCTTTAATGGGTCTTTGTACCTACTGGATACTGATTTCAGTCTTATGCTTCTTTGGTGAATTTTTACTGTTTTTTTGGCGATGATGGGCATAGTCTTCTACCATGTGATCAAATGGCACTAGGATAACAATACTGTGCTGGGTACTTTTGTAAAACAACCAGAATTGCAAATAGCTAGGCTTTGTTTGAATTTATAGTCTGAAGTAGATAATATTGCTGCAGATAGAAGAATTGCAGATGTCCTTTTTCTGAATACCATTTAGTGCTTGCCAACAGTCTGTGTTACAGAATACTATTTCGATGTACTTCTCCCTGCTGGATTGACATTACTGCATAGGTTGATCTTGTGTGTGTGTGTTTGTGAGAAGCCTTGTAGGACTGGTATCATGTTATGGCATGCCACACAGTGTCTTACTAACATCTCTTAAAATCAGCTGATCCATCCTGTGGCTTTCAGCCAGTTATAGCCAGCAGAATAATCCAGTGTCTTTGCCAGTACTCATCACTAACCTCCCCTTATCCATCAGACACCACTCCCCTCATTTGTACATGCAGTCTTATCTCACCTCCCCTTTTTAGGTCCTTTGACACAGGCACATCCCCCTGCAGATAATGCCCTTCCCACCTCCAAGCATTATTGCTAAGGGTAATAATTATAAGCTCTGATTCCTTAGTACATTCGAAACCACTTGAAATCTGTTATTCTGCATTTGGCAACATGCAGCTTTAATTGTTCTCAAGATTTCATGTGTCCTACCTGGGTAGTAAAACAAAATACCTTGGAAATCTTTCTTATATAACCCTTCCCTCATTTGCACACTTGTTTCAGATCTTACCTGTAATACTACAATGTGTATTCATTAACCAACCAAAATGAATCCTTAAGTTAGTTTACCTTAACTTTACCTCTGCGGCCATCCATCCATGGGTTTGAGCCCTAGCAAGGAGCCCCTGCACTGCAAAGGGACAACCTGGTTGTTGATGGCAGGTTGTAGGTTTCAGGAATCTAGGTACACAATATTGTGTAATGATATTCTATTGGAAACACATGCCAGGACCCTTGCTAGCATTGTACAAGTATTGTATTTTTAGTCTGGAGGAATGATTTTCTTAACCTTAAATAAATAAAACTAAATTTAGGATTATGTAATATACCACTAATCCAATGAACATAGAGGACTATTAGTAAAATAAAACAAACACACACACACAAGAACCAGTCTCTGAACAGATCCTAGAAATCAGTGTGATTCTCCTACAAGAAAAACATTTTGTTATTAGCCAGATTATTGTATTCTAGTATTATTATAAGTACTATGGTCTGTTGGGGTGGAGGTGGGAACAGGAGAAGATTCATAGAAAAATTTGTATTTGAACTCTTTTTATTGTTTTTTGTTTGTTTGTTTGTTTTTTAAAGATGACCAGTAAGAGGATCTTAATCCTTGGCTTGGTGCTATCAGCACCACACTCTCCCAAGTGAGCCACGGGCCAGACCTTCTTTTTACTGTTTTTACTTACCTTACTAAAATAGCACTACAGTGTTGCCATATGGATTTAACTTTTAGAGATGCACAGTTGTGTTGGACTTGACCGATTTACGTGCCACCTGAGAAGTGTGTGGCTCTCTTGTTCACAGTGGTGGGTCTTGCGTGTGTGTCTGTGTGCGCGCGCGCGTGTGTGTGCACCTTTTTCTGGGGGTAAGATGCTCCAGTTTTGTAAATGGGACAGAGATTATAATCCTCATCCGGTACAGATAACTTTGGAAAACTTGGGCATGAGACATGTGTGTGCAGGGTACAGCTTCTTTCCACCAACTTAGAAATGACAGGTCTACACTGTTTTATTAATCTTATTCCTGCACCTGCTTAGTAGGTAGCCACTCAACCTGGGAACCAGTTCTTGAAATGTTATGTCTGAAATTTACGAATTTCATTTCTTTGGAAAGTGCAGCATTTCTGAAACCCCTGATGAGAAGCATTCAGCTTTCGTGTGTTCTGAATCTCGGAGGAGCTTGCAGCGCGTCTCCCTGCTGCCCTATTTCAGGGTTTGGAGGGCGAGTGCAAAAAAAGCTGCACCTTCAGTGACTGTCATGGCCACGGAAACCAAGCCATGGGCCTTTGCTGGTTGTTCTCCAGCCAGTGGTGAGCAGCCTTCTTGCCTGACCAGTCCCAGATACTGGTTTAGAATTGATGGGTGTTTGTTAGAGGCTCTTTCACTTGTTTTTGTGCTGTTGAGACACTTACCTGCCCCTTGTGTCCATAATTCTTTTTACTGAAGACTTTTTCTAAACAAAGTTATTTCAGAAAAGATTTTTTTATTCTTACCTGAAATATGGAGTTAATTAATGCAAGTGTACTGAAGATGAGCTGAGTTCAGAATATTAGAGAACAATTAAATTATTGGTGACTTACCTTTTAATCACCTCTGCATGTGCAGTTGGTAGTTGCTTCCACATCTTTGTGGTAAAGGTGGAGTGAGTGGTGCCTTTGTTGAAATGGTGAAGCCTCTGGACTTTGTGAAGTGTTGCTTTGTAATCAGGACATTGAACTTCAGGATCCAGCCCTGGCCTTGCATTTGTTTTCGTGGTAGGGAGACTCTTGCTGAAACCCTGACTGAGCAGGGCTGCGGTGAGGACACTTCTACCACTGAATCTCACTGAGTGAAATACGCTGGTTTTACCAGCAGCCATTTCCCCAGCATCGTCTGCCTTGAATTGTCAGACTTCATAGTCCTCTGGCTGGGCATTTCCAAAATGATCTTGGGTCACCCTAAGGAGGAGTCTGATGTCCATGGGGACCAATGAGCTAATGGATGTTTAGTTTTAGGCTGGACTAGATTACCTGGCACTACCATTCTCACCTGCTACAGTGTTACTGTTGATTACTTCCTAGATATCCCCATCAAGCCAGGAGTATATATTCTCCTAATTTCAAAATGAGTCAGATTCCAAATAACTTGAAACAGATCTGCAGAATTGGCACTTTTTCCTCCCATTTTCAGGCTCTCTGGAAACTAGCGTATATAGGCACAGAGTCTATTGCTACTTCATCCATTGTAGAGAAAAGTGAGCACTGAACACGGAAACAGCTGGGTAAGGGTCTGATGTTTACATTCTCAGCAGTGCTGAGTATCACAAAAGGCATCTAGAAACATATTTAATTCACGTTAGTTACAGCAACTATATTTGAAGGCAGGCATTTTCATGCTGTAAAAAATGCCAGGGCCGGCCCGGGGGCGCACTGCTACAGTGCGCCGCTTCGGAGCGCGGCGGCGCTCCCGCCAAGGGTTCAGATCCCACATACAGACCGGCTGCTCACTGGCTGAGCAAGGTGCGGGAGCAACGCCGAGGGTTGCGATCCCGTTGCCGGTCCCGGTCCGGTACGGGTGTGACACTGAGGGTTGCGATCTGTTGCCGGACACGAAAAAAGGCAAAAAGGCAAAAAAAAAAAAAATGCCTGGGTGGGGGGAGCCAGAAAATTTGTGATATTTTTGGCTTATGAGAGAATAACATTGTTGAGAGTAGTTACCCAGGCATTCTGATTTCAAACAGTCAAGAGCCTTAAAAGAAAAGAACCTGCCAGTTGTGGTAGGGTTTGTGGACATTGTGATTAACTGTCAGAGCTCTCAGTTGCTAAATTCGGCTTCTCTCTAAACCTTGTATTTTTGAGATTTTTAACCTAGAAGACTGTGGTGGTTTTGTGATTAGTGTTTCATTTAGCTTCACCAGCCAACTGTAGACAATTGCTCTTCTTGTGGTTTCCAAGATGCTCAGGCAAGGCAGGTGGCTTTTGTTTCCATACTAGTAGTGAAGGAGCACTGATATGTTATAGTAAATATTGACCCTTTTGAGTATGAATTTGGGGGCATTTAGTTCAGTATAGCTGGACTGTAGGCTTTATTTATTTATTTATTTATTTTGGCATCTGGCTGGTACTTGGACCCAAACCCTTGACCTTGGTGTTATTGGCACAACAATCTACTGAGGGAGCTAACCGGCCAACCCTTCTTTCTCTGTTTCTGTGTTTCTTTCTCTCATCCAGCTTTTTCCATATGGAGGAAAACATATTCACAAAACTCTTTCAACTTTTATTTCTTTCCAGTTTAGCCACCCAGAGGGTGCATCTCAATTTTCAAGATCCCAAAACCTGTTGTTCAAAATGGTTATCCCCACGGCAACTGTTTGACAGGTGGTGGTGGGGGGTCTGCCGGGATTTCCACTTCTCAGCCCCCAGGGATGATGCATACTTCTGCCCTTTTCATCTACTCAGTCTCCAAACTGCCCCACCTAACATAACCCAGCCATCCCTCATGGAGCTGCAAGGCTATTCCCCCTCCTCAGTAGGAGACAGCCCTGTCTCTTTTAGCTATGGCCCCAGTGGCCTTGTTATAGGGCCACTGTTCTTCAGGCCCAGGTTCTCTGGGCCATACATGCTCCTCAGTTCAGGTGGGAGCAGGTCCAGATGTGGCTCATCACCATCTGGACCCTGTGGGCTAAAATAATTCTAGCTAGTCCCAGGCAGGCACCACCCTTGATGCTTCTGTTTTCCTGGCTGGTTCATACTCTGAGATGAATTTCCTAGTTCCAAAGGTAAAATTAAAAGAAGACTCTTATTCTTCTAATTTGAGGCTTCCTACAGAGAACAGACTCAGCAGGTGGCACTAAGCCTTGCTGTTGGTTCTCCTATTGCAGTGAGAACCAACAGCAAGGCGAAGGGCTGAACCTCTCCCCCTCCAGGCCAGGTACACCCAAGAGATGGGATGAGCGAGGTTCTGACAGCTCCTTCGCCCTCCTCTGCCAGTGGGTCTGCACCGTGGAAAAAGGACTGCAGAGACCGGAGTGTTTGTCCTGCTGCTTCTGGCTGCCCTGGAGAGAGCCACCGGGGCCTTCCATTTTAAGGGATTTACTAGGCATCATTCTGGCTGTTACCCAGAGTGACCAAGCACTGTGGGTCAGGCTCCCATGCACAGGTAACTCCCCTCCAATCCTTTTGTGTTTAATGCTAAAAGTCAGCTGTACTCCTTTATTTTAAAAATAGCATTTGTGCCAAAATTCTGTTGCAGTATAAGCAAGCTGTTTTGGCCTGTTTTTGATTAAAGACCCACAGGAACGAGCTAATTTGGAGGATAGCATAGTGACAAAGGAAGAGAAAATCTCATTGCAAGGGTGGCTTTGCTGAATGGGCCCCTTCCTCAAAAGGGAAACCTTATCAGCTGTCACCTTCCCATACATGTGTATACACACACACGTGTTCCCATGGAAACCCTGTGGATCAGAGTACAGTTTCTAGCAAAGCCAGAGGACGGGCAGACCAAAAAAAGTCTGTTCAGTATAATGATAACCACATTGTACACCAAATTTTGTATATTTTTCACTTGATAATATATAGAAGCATTTTTCTATATTGTAGATTTTTCCAAGTGCTATTTTAATGATTACATTTCATTGTTAGTTTATTTCAGCCATTTAGATATTATTAGAAATTTGTTTTCTTTCTGTTTGTTTGTTTTTATAAATGGGATGTAAGGAGTGTCATTGTGTACAGAGCTTTTTCCATGTCTGGAATTATTTCTTTAGGGTGTAGAGCACTTTTATGCTTTCCATGAAGATTGTACTAACTTATCCTTTTCAGTGCTACCAGCAAATGGATGAGAAAATTAATTTCACAGACTTTGGCTATTTTCTTTAAAATGTTTATTTTTTAATTCATTGAGCAAAAAGGTACGTTTTTTTTTTTAAAGATGACCGGTAAGGGGATCTTAACCCTTGACTTGGTGTTGTCAGCATCACGCTCTCACAAGTGAGCGAACCAGCCATCCTTATGTAGGGATCCAAACCCATGGCCTTGGTGTTATCAGCACCCACTCTCCCAAGTGAGGCACGGGCCGGCCCTAAAAGGGTACTTTTTTAAAAAAAATTTTATTTTAATTTTTATTTTTTTTAATTTTATTTTGTCGATATACAATGTGGTTGGTTATTGTGGCCCATTACCGAAACCTCCCTCCCTCCTCTAAAAGGGTACATTTTAATTTAAATTGTATTTTGGTTATAAGCAAGGAACAGTTTGGGGTTATGCTTTTTATTCATTTCCTTTGGTAACATGTCTTAATTGGAATCATGGTGTTTTATTATATAAATTCTTTATATAGTGAAAGCTATTTTTCCTGTTTTGCTTTCATGATTTTCCCCTTATGCTTTGCTTTCTTAAATTTCGTGAGTGAGTGCATGTTTGGGGGGTGGCGTTGGCATTCTTCTTTATCATAGAGTCTTATGAGATGACCAGGTTTTGGAGAGTAAAATAGACCTGAGAGAAGGAAGTCAGTAAGCTGAGCATACATATGTTCCTCCTCTGTTTTGGTGGAGGCTTCCCATGGATCATTTTAGAATTCCTGTCCTTGTCGTGTTAGGTAGGATTACAGCTTATATAGAATAAGGGGACCTGGATTCTAGTCCTAACTCAACTCTTGTCTAGACATGTGCCCTCAATGGGAATTCGGGCTCTCCAACCTCAGTTTCTTCATCTGTAAGATGGAGGATTTTAGGATAACTTCAGGGGTGGGGTCTGTGATTGCACATGTCCAAGGCGAAGAATCACAATGACATGAAGATTCTTCTATGTCTCTTTGCAGATTTTTGGAAGCACCAGCACAGTGACGCTTCCTGAAACCTTGCTGTTTGTGTCAACCCTGGATGGCAGTTTGCATGCTGTCAGCAAGAGGACAGGCTCAATCAAATGGACATTAAAAGAAGGTAACTTGGATTTCATCTTCGAGCGTCATGGACATTTGCTTAGCTGCCTCCAAGTAAACATACTCCAGAGAAAGAGAAAACAGTTATATATTATTTAATAAAATAAAAAAGGAGAATGGGATCAAAGAGAGGAAAAGGAATTCTACCCAAAGGGTGTTTACAGTTTGAATTGTTGTGATTATCCACTAAGTGCATCAGTTGGAGAAGCACATTTTATCTTTTGTGGGTTTTTCTGGTTTTTGCTTCTGTGCAGACTTCATGTTTAAATGGCTCTAGGCCTTTCTATTAATAGTTCTGGCTGGCTGGTCTTCATGAAGACGTGCTGCATTAAATTTAAGTTCTAATGATTAAAATCTTATAATCATAATTACAAGCTGGTATTTTCTCAACACCTCAAATTACTCATTTGTTTTTATAGAGGCTGAAATAATTGAGGGCTGTAAGATTTGACACTTGTCCAAGTTAACTACTTTATTGGCTTGTTGTGGTGTGGGGGGCGGGGGGGTGTGTGTGTGTGTAAAACATTGAGCTTGTTTCTCATTTAGCTACCACATGCCCATCTTATGATCTTATCTTCATTATGGTGGTTTGCAGCGTCAAGCCCTACAGCTGGGCTCACAATCAAATTGCATTTGATTTCCAAAGTAATCTTCCCAGATAAAGCCATGCAGATCCCAGGATTTGGGTCTTCCAGAGTCATCTCTCTTGTTCTGTCTGGTAATAATTGTCTTTTGGCCCTAGGGTCTGGTCTGACCAGCATGTTCTCTTTCGTCACTACTCTGTGACTCATTATTTTCACGAACAGAGCAAGTGTTTTTCCTCCCTTAATAAAGTGTTTCAAAACAGTATTCTAGATGGAAAAATAATGGCATACGTCAGAAGGATGCATGTCATCTTGTGAATTCAGCAGCAAACCTGGTTACTATTCATGCACGATGGCAGCCAGGTTCCCCAGGCCATGCTGCGTCACTTGCTTGGCCTTCTATGGCAGCCAAAGGAACCCGCTCTCTCAGGAGTGAGTAACCACAAGAAGACTGTAGAGCCAGCTTTTGACATTGCATTATAGGCTCCGAGAATGTTATCTGTGCTGTCTCTCCTTCATGTTTAAGCCTTTTAATGTTTTTGAAATGAAAGCAGAGTTCTTTAAATTTCAGAATTTCATATATTGTGCAAAGATTAAATCAACAGGTCACAAAGGACTGAGAGAAACATTTTGGCTGTAGGATGTCAGGACCTGTTCTTCAGTTTCAGGGTCCCAGGCGAGGCATCTCTGCCCTGAGCCACTTTACTCTCCTGCTTTGCTTTTCCCTGCATATATTGTTTTACGTTGATCTTCTCTACGTCTTCATTTCCATAAGTAGCCTTGGCTGTGTCCAGCAAAACTGTGATCTGTCTTGTTTGTTACTTAGTCAAACATAAGAATCAATCTGTTCTTTCCTGTAACTTAGAGCTGAGACAATTTGCCTCCTTTTTATTGAATTTAACATGTACTTAGACAACCTAGACTGTGAAAGATACCGTGTGGGACACAAAGAAGAAAAAGGCAGAGCCCTCAAGGAGCCCATGGTCTGATAGGGAGCAAAGACAAGCATGCAGAACTTCACACAGCAGAGTACGGTAACACTGAAGAGAGGTGCTGGTAACGCTTTGTGAGCCCATGCCTGTCGAGAGGGCAGGAGGGCCTTCGGGAAGCTGTGGTGTTGGAGGTGAGACTGGGGATGAAGTGAGTTTTAGTCAGAGTGAGGCCTAGAAAAGAGCGAAGGAGGAAGCAGGACTGTGTGCAGGGATTGGTCCTCTTCAGCAGAAGCTTAGGGACACTTTGGAGTTAGAGGGAGGGAGGGCCAGAAGGGTATGTGGAGCCTTATTGTAGCATGGAGCTATTTGTATGTGATTGAACAGGAAGTGGGGAGCCATTAAGGTGATGGAGCAGGTGAGTGACTCAACAGGTGCTCTGCTTGCAGGTGAATCCAGCAGCAGTAGCAGCGTGGACAGCTAGAGAAGAGAAGGCCTACCTGAAAAGCGATGGGGAGGGGGCCGGCAGGGGAAGGCTGGGAGGCATGCCAGAAATAGATCAGTGGAGTCCAGCCACTGATGAGGAAGGAGGGGTTAAAAGACACTTACAGGAAGAACTAGAGAAATCCGATAAAGATGCAATGATTTCAAGTGAGTTCATTATGTCCTAAGTCTCAGTGTTGTTTTTCTGAGTCAGCCGGCTTGTTTCAGTTCAGCCCTGAATACCAGTAGCCTCAATTTCTATTTCCGTACAAAGATTAAAGACAGTAACACATAGATACCCTGAGTTTTCAATTTAAATTTTGTGCTTATAACTAAAGATTTCAAAATTGGTATTTCTAAAGTATTAATATGTAGATAGATGATAAAAGTATCTAAATACTATTCTAGGCCCTGAGGATACAGGAAGTGAACAAAACAGGCAAAACCCTTACCCTCGTAGAGCTTTCATTTCAGTGGGGAAATGGGAAATAAATTCCTTAGTGGTGACAAGAGCAGTGGAGAAAAATGAAACGGGGAGGAGGAATGGGCAGTGCCAGGTGGGGGTGGGGGGCTGCACCTCTGGACAGAGAAGGCCCCACTGAGAAGGCGTCATTTGAGCCAGACTTCAAGTAGGCAACGGAGTCTTTTAGGCAGGTGGCACAGCAGGGCAAAGGTGGAAGTGTCCTTGGCATGGCAAAGGAAGAGTGCAGGAGTCGGTGTGGCTGGAGTGGAGTAGGAGATGAGAAGAGCTCACAGACATCACAGGGGGCCCATCATATAGGGCAGGAGAGACCCTGGACTCCTTCTACCTAACATTTATTATAACGATGCCCCCTTACTGTCCTGAACTGAAATTTGTAGACAGTAACCTACATAAGCACACAGTTTCAAAAAGAAATATATTACCCAACTGGTAATCTAAAAGTGAAATAATAGGAAAGTAATTTTTAATCACATAATTTAATATGTAAATACTCAGACACATACAGACACTCTACCTGTGAGTGAAACGCACTGCCTATTGATACAGGTGGATACGAATGCAGCAAGGACTTCCAAGATGGTGAACAACTCTTGGTAATCTTCCAAACAAAAGAAATGCAGTCTTACCTGACTTATACACTAGTTATATTCCAAGAAAATTCAGTATATGAAATTATGGAAAAAGTACCCTTGTGCTTATGTTTGAAACAGTTAGTTTGTAGGCTGTGGTAATTATTTAAGGCATTTGGCTTGTGTATCTGGCAGAACATTAGAGCCAGCGTGCAGACACCGGGCAGTCTTCCATTGTGCAATACTACCTAGTGTCCCTGGCCCCCCACACTTAGTGCTTGTATCATCCCCCAGTCTCTGTGACCACCAGGAAATGCCCTCACAGATTTTTCTGAGCATTCCCGAGCAAGCAGCACCATCCACATGGAGACCACCGGTATAGGGCCTGGTGGCTGGTATAAAGATATTGGCTTTTCTTCAGCCATTGGAGGAATCTGAGCAGAAAAGCAACATGCCCTGGTGTTATGAACTGAGTGTTTGTGTCACCCCTGAAATTCATATATTGAAGCCCTGCCCCCAAGTGTGATGGTATTTGGAGGTGGGCCTTTGTGAGGTAATTATGAAACGGAGGGTGGCGGGAGGGGGGGCATGGATGAAGGGGTTAGTGGCCTTTTGAGAAGAGGAAGAGAGACCAGAGCTGCTGGCTTGCTGTCTCCACCATGTGAGGACACAGTGAGAAGGCAGCTGTGTGCAAGTTGGGAAGTGGGCCCTCACAGAACCCAACCCTGCTGGCACCATAATCTCAAACTTCCCAGCCTCCAAAACTGTGAGAAATAAATTTCTGTTGTTTAAGCCCCCCAGTCTGTGGTATTTTGTTATGGCAGCCTGAGCACATGAAGACGCCTGGCCTGCACTTGACAGGATCAGAAGGTGCTGTGTTGAGACCGAACTGGTGGGCCAGGAGGAAGCTGGGAGAGCAGGCTGGAGTCTGCTGCCCCAGTCCAGGCAAGGGAGCGTGCTGGCTGGGGCCTGAGTCGAAGGGGGGATTCAAAGTTGAATGGAAGAAACTTGCTGATGCAAACAGATACCTTTAACTGATCAAACTGGGCTTCTTCAGAATGTGTATCTGTTACTCCATTTCGTGGTTTCCTAACTGTTTACTTTTTTCAGGAGCCAACAAACTGAGAGTGTTTTTTTTTTTTTTCTTTCCACAGTGGTTTTTGCAGGTGCTTTTGTTCCTCAACCAAACATATGTTGCTATTCCCAGAAATGATTGTTTCTTACAACATAGTGGCAAATTACGCCTAGTAGAGAAAATGAGTTGTGTTTATTTTCTGGAACTGATTTGAGATGTGACATTTTACTTTAGGTACAATCTTTCTAAGCCCTGGTTTTGCTGTGATGCAACATCACTGTCTTTCTCTGAAATTTCACCAATGAACAGGGTTGAGTATGTTTTATTTCTGTACTTCCAGACCAAATGAAAACTGAGAATTTTGCTGTCATGCTTTATTTTAGATGAGCTTTACAAAGCTTGCTTTGGCTTGATGGAGTTGAATGGACTTTCTTTAGTATTTCCAGGGCTGGTTTAGGGCTTCTTGCATTTACCATGAAACACTGATTAGTTAATGCTGGTTTTTGATGCTTAAATCTCCATCACGTTACAGGTTATTTTTTAGTAACCCTATTCTATTCTAGTCTATCTCATTTTCAATAATAATAGGCGTGAAGGACTTGGTCTAATTTAGAACCATTCATTACTAATCATAAAAATCTGCTAAATAGGCAATGTGGTTACTCTTCTAGCCAGATGGGCCCAAACTCCTGAGATATCTCATGAATGGTTAATATTAGAGGTTTCTTAGGAGGGAAGGGTCAGAAGAAAATTAGTTATTTGAGGGCCGAGTCCGTGGCGCACTCGGGAGAGTGCAGCGCTGGGAGCACAGCAGCGCTCCTGCGGCGGGTTTGGATCCTATATAGGGATGGACGGTGCGATGCCCTCACTGGCTGAG